CGCACTTATTGATACCCATTTTGCCCACTACTCTCATATCCATGATAGGCGAGAGACGACTTAACAAGAGATTCAACCACAAGCTGTACTCCATCAAACCCAAGCATAGGTGTGTCTCCATCGGAGGGCTTTTTAAAGCAGAACTGACAAGCCATTTGGTTCTTGTATTACTAATTAAATAGCAGCTAAGGCAAAGTAAAATTACCAGTGTCAGGCTGCACAAAGATGTCCACAGCTGTAATTTAAACATCGTCATTAATGGTCAGCCTTGTGCAGATGATGGTTCTGAATCGGTACTGCCTCCCCCAGGTTGTTCAGCCAGCACCCCACGGTCAATGATGAGCTGCCTAACCGCATCCTTTCTGGCACGGTCCTGGTGAAGACCAACGTGTCCAGGATCGAGGGTTCCAGCGTGATGTTTGAGGATGGGACGGTGGAGGAGGACATCGACCTGGTGGTCTTCGCCACTGGATACACCTTCTCTTTTCCCTTCCTGCCCTCATCTTTCATCTCAGTTTCAGAGAACAAGACTTCGCTCTACAAATACGTCTTTCCCCCCACACTGGAGCGCCCCACACTGGCCATCATCGGGCTGGTCCAGCCTCTGGGGGCCATAATGCCCATTTCAGAGATGCAGGCACGATGGGCTACACGCGTCTTCAAAGGTGCCAACACAGATGGCTTGAAGTCTTCATAGTTTCCCTGTTCCTTCCTAAGGAGTGTTTGTCCTGTGCTTTCTGTGGTCAGTGTCCTCAGTTCATGCTGGACATTTCTCCTCAGGGCTGAACAAACTTCCCCCGGTGAACAGAATGCTGAAGGACATCAAAGTAACCAAGGAAATGATGGAGAAAAGGTCATTTCCGTTCCTAAATGTGTTTCACCTTTTATAAGATGTTATTAGAAACTTGTTATTCTCACAGTGCATCTCAAATATTTATGAATAGAGTTTTCATATAAACGCTCTGCTCCTCTAAAGTTCAGTAGTACCGATGCTCTCAGATGCTGAACTTGAAGTAATGTAGTTTAGAATGAATTGTTTGAATCCATATTTGTAATATTTTGTAAAATCTGTTCTTCCTGTAGCTGGCTTCTTTGTTTAGTTTTGTTCTGTCCTTTTTATCCTCTTCCCTCAGGTATGTGACGTCTCAGAGACACACCATCCAGGTGGACTACGTCCGTTACATGGATGAGCTGGCGAGGCAGTTTGGGGTGCGGCCCAAGCTCCTCCGGCTGCTGCTGCGGGACCCTCGCCTCGGCCTCAGCGTCCTGCTGGGACCCTGTACCCCGTACCAGTACCGGCTATACGGGCCAGGTCAGTGGGCAGGGGCCCGGCAGGCCATTCTCACGCAGTGGGAGCGCGTGGCCCAGCCAATGAAAACCCGGGCCGTGCCAGAGCCCCCCTCTTCAAGGCTGCCATTGCTGCTTGCTCTCAGTGGCGCCGCCCTACTGGTGGCAGCTGTCTGTGCCCGAAAAAACTTTCCGGACCTCTTGGCTTCCCTGAGCAATTGGAGGATGTATGTGCCAAAGCCATTCCTTCACATGGTGTAAAAGTGCGCTGATAACAGAAAAATAAGCTTTACCCTGGGAAACTGCATTTATCCCATGTATTATCAGAGGTGGAATGATTTATAATTACACAGTTCATATGATGTGCAATTTAAAAATAAGTCTCCTACTGTGGAGGAAAGGTTCCAGTATGGCTGGTGAGAGGTGCATAGTGGGATTGTTGTCAGTGTCTTAGGCCTCAGGCAAGAAGAATGTGTCTTGGGCTGACCCTGAAACCAGGAGCTGACACGGCCTGTTTGTGAAGATAATCAGAACCTTTGCTGAAAGAATGGGACGTCCTACGTAGGCTGCTCAGTACTGCAGTGGAAGATAACGGGAAAGCAGTCAGAGGTTCCGAGAGGAGACAAACAGGCTTATTTTCTTATGTGTGTGCTATATTTACCTATTTCGAGGGTCATGTGATCTAATGGCTGTGTTGTAATGAAATAGATTAATCGACCAAATATATGGTGAGGTATGGGTAGTTTGATGAGCTGGATTGCATAGTATTGTTTAACTTGGGGACATGATGTAAGGGGTTAGCAAGGGTGGGTGTAACTGGTGGTAATGCAGAGGTGCACAAGGTCAACACCTCTGCACACAGACGAGAGCCCCTGCCTTAACCAATAGGGTACAATATTGCCTTTTAAGGGGATTTGCAGAAATGTATGAAACGTGAGCATGTACTTTGTTTAGGAGTTTCTTAAGCAAGCAAATTTTATCTTAAGTCATGTCAGGTAAATTCACTTCATGCCGGGTGCTCAACAGAATTTAAGGGAAAGTAACAAGATTTTTTAGTTCCACACTATCATTATAAATGAGCTTGCAATAAAAGGTTAACCTTGTGTAAGTCAGCAAATGTAATAACAGTATCTTATTTTCTTCAGTTAATATTCATATTCTGTACTTAATCTCTTTAAACATGTTAATCTTAATCTCTTTAAAAAAATAAATTATGTAGACACAGATTAATGGTGAAATATTTTTGCTTCTTTTCCAATATCACATTATTCTTCCAAAAAGGAATTTCTCCTATAGGAATTAAAATATGAGCTGCAACAATTTTCATGGTTTTTCTTTTTATAGTTTTAATGAATATTTAGGTGTTTAATGAAGCTTTAGGTGAATGAGGTGTTTATTATTCTTAGCAGTAATAATTTGAAAATTGCTATGAGTTCTCTTGCTCCTGCATGGTCTTTGATGTGTGCATTGATGACTGGTCAGATTTGGTCATTTTTGCCAGAAGAACCTCAACACGACTGTAGAGGATGCATAATTGTAGCAGACATCTTAGGCTGGCCAACCATCCATTTGCTCTTGGTTTGTTTTTGTTTTTTTGTTTTTTTTGCTTCTTATTTTGACTCCTCTAAAGTTGTTGCAAAGTCTTTGATGACACTCTAGGGGGTGCTGTTGGTAAAAATATTTTCATAAGTCTCTAAATTGATTCTAGAAATAACTTTAGCTTGTTAATACTAGAAAAATTCTGTCAAAATCACATGCTGCATCCCGCTGAATCACATTCTGTAAAACCACAGAGCCCATCTATGCAGTGTTATCTATGAACAGTTACTCTCTGTTCTTGCCCTTTGTGTGAGCACAAGGGCCCACAGAGTGCTTGCAAATGCCAAAATATCTTCCTGTTTCTCCTGCTCTAGTTCCATCATTGCTGCTTCTGCTTGGATAAAATTTCTTCCTGCTTGTTTAAAAGCTGGACTTGTGTGAATCTATAACATGGTCACTGGTGAATTTTGGCAAAATCAGCAAACTCTGCTTTCCCCATGTGAATGTGTCCCTGGCTCACGAATGTCGTACAAATATGGAGGTTTCGACACCATTATTCTAAAATTAACTTTCAATATCAGCAGTGATAGCCGTGATTAATAATAACTGTATATGTGCTGTAAGATCTGAGTGTTCATTAAGTAAACCGGTTGAGCTGTGTTGATAAAACAAGCCAGTCATATATGTATATATATAATATTTATTCAACTTTGAATGTAAATATATCTGTTTCACTATTATACACACATAACATGAATCTCAGTAATAGACTGAGTGGAAAAATCTGCTTTCTAAGATCAGGCAGAGGAGAGTCGTTTACATGTATTTATCTAGTACATATAGTGAATGATATGGTGACACAATGCTGCATCAAATACGGACTGTGCACATGCTGGTATAAAATGTGAGCCAGACCGACATCCATCCATCCATCCATCTTCTACTTGTTTATCCAGTACCAGTTGGCCTGGAGCCTATTGCAGGGAGCAAAGTGCACAAAGCAAATGTACTCCCTGGACAGGATGCCAGTCCATCGCAGGGCACTCACACACACTGTGGGAAATTTGAGAGACCAATTTGCCTAAGGACATGTTTTAGGACTGTGGGAGGAAACATGTACAAATTCATGGAACATGCAAACTGCATACACACAGACTCAGAGTCAGGGTGTGTGTCCAAAATCACATACTTGTTTGCTATTTAGTAGAGTGCATAAGTATGCAATTTCAGACGTACCCTGGGGTTTGAGCCCCCTACCACAGAGGTGTGAGGCTACTATGCTTCTCACTGAGCCACCTTGCAGCCCAGAATAAGGGCACTGGGGTGATCTGTTTTTCCTTCTAAGCACTCAAGACAACAACTGATCAAAGATTATGATAGAAAAACAACTCATCTTGGACCGTGCCACAGCGAAAACCATCCCAGTGAAACGAGACATTTGAGAGATCAGTTCCTATGACAGATAGCTTTAATAGCCTCCGGCGCAGGCCCTGGTCTCAAGGGATCGGAAGCGGCTGATCAAAGCTGCGCAATGACATGTGACAGCCAGTCTCACTCTATCAAGCTGCAAAGGAGCATGGGTAAGTGTGCTTAGTAATTTTTGACACAAGAAATGTCAGCTTGGGGGGTGATGTCTGGTGTGGCATAAGGGGCGTGTCAGCTTGTTAGCCTGTTCGCGTTCACTCGTGTTTGTATTTATGTTTTTTTTGCACTTATGAGTTTCACTTGGCATCCAACTTGCCTAGCCGCACGCCGTAGCTGATCATGTGGAAATTATCCCAGGCGTAGAGCTTCCTGTGGGAGGGGTTGTAGTCCACCATGCTGTTATAGCCGTAGCGGTTTTGGAAGGGTACCGCGATGGCCTTGGCCTGACCTGTGGCCGTGTCGTAGCTATAGTTAATGGTCGTGTTGGGCGCCGTGTAGCTGGCTAACGTGTAGAGTCGGCCGCAGGTCATGAAGGCGTTGGCTACCGCTGCCTTGCGCACGCTTGTCTCCCAGCTCTTTCTCACTTCCAGGCTCTTGGGGTCCAGCTGGGACACCACGATGTTGCCCTTGGCCTTGTTGGAGCTGTAGATGACCCAGAGGCCCTGCTCATCCACGGCCAGGTCGATGTCCGTGTAGCCGCCCCAGGAGTAGGGGTACTGGCCGTGGAAGCCGGCGTGGGGCAGCTCGCGGCGTGCCGCCACACTCTCAGTGGCCAGGTCGTAGCGGACGAGGGTGCGGCTGAGGCGCCGCTGGTAGTAGAAGGAGCCGTGGTACAGCACAGCCCCCGTGCTCTCCATGGGATCCGGCAGGAGCAGGACCTTAGTGGGGAAGCCACGGGAGAACTGGTTCATGTCCTCGTAGCCGAACAGCTGGCGCACATCAGTGCCGATGGTGTCGATGCGCCAGACCATCTGTGGCCCATATGGGCCACCAGGGGGCGCCTCCGGGTCCTGCATCCACACCCCGTACTTCCCTGCAATGTTGTCCGCCTTGCGGTGAGAAACTGGCTCGCTCACCGAGACCAGCTCCCCGCAACCTTAAATAGAGGAACAGAGATTCCAAATGAAGCTGGGGGGGTAAGGGAGGGAAACCTGATAGACCGATCTGAGATTTAAAGTGAGATGTGACAGCTAACATGGCCAGAATTATATAAAGTTTATGGCTATAAGAAATATACCGTAATGAATTAATGGAGGCACAGTTCCCAGTGCATTATGGGTAATAAGCCAGTAAGTGTTTATCGGAATGGTAAATAAAAGGAGCTTTCTGGAATGAAGTATTCAGCTCTGCAAGGATGATCTGGCTAGTGAGGCCAGCAGAACTTGTTAAGTATTTCCAAAAATACATCAGCACAGGGAGGGAGAGAGGAAGGGGGTGCAGTTCTGGCTGGGGGAGAGTAGGGTTTAGAGGGGGCTTCTGAACCAATCCTGGAGTCAGATGCCTTTGCAACTGATAAATATAGCCATCACTTGTGACATTAAAATGTGTACATATGCAAATACACTCTTTATTCAAACACTAATGCAGGAACTAAGTCAACTGGCGAAAAAGAACAATTTTGCATGTGGTCCTGCTTAAAGGTGCTTTGAGACTAGTGATAATGTGCACACTTACTGTAAGAGTGAAGTGAATAACCAAAGGATAGTGTTAGTGACTATGCACTAGGGGGCAGCGTGGAGACCATAACTACCTGTGTCATCCTCGGTTCCCTCCTGGGTGAGCTGGGAAGCAGGCAGCTGTGTCACCTCTGCCTTTAACTCCTGGTAGCCGGGGCTGCCCAGCGACCAGGCTGAATCTTAGACAGGGAGGGGGAGGAGGCAGGGAGGGAGGGGAGGTCCGAGAAACAGGTACCAGGGATCAGGATCATGCAGTGGAAGGACTGAACACGGGTTTGGGGTGCAGCATAGCTTGTATCACTAGGTTTGGGCAAGAAACTCAACCACGTTAAGAAAAATTATACTTTATACTATTAACACAACTGTTAATAGAGTCCTGTATATCACACAGAAAAACACACAAGTGTACTTCAAGAATGCTAAAATGAGTCAGGTTAAGACCAAACAATTGGCCAGTTGGTGGCATAGTAATGTAGTGCATGGACTCTTCGTGAAAAGGGAAAATGTGGTTTTTTGCAGTTAGTTGCATCTAAGTGAATAACTGGACAGGTCTAGACAGGCAGAGGGTTTAAGGAAGGGCTGAAATGTGCATCTCGCCCCTACCTCTCACCCTGCCCCTCTCACTCTGCACCATGGACCGTGACACCAGCGGGGAGACACCGCCAGACCCTGCGGACACACAGAGATGGCCGGTCAGGGCCGGGGGGGGGAGGCGGTGGGCAGAGGGAGGAAGTACCACTCCCTCAGACGGGACTTTCACTGTGGATGCAGCAGCTCCCTGACCATCAAAACAATCCGGACACGCGGTCCATATCTGCATGCCTGGCGGCTGGCGGCACGTCTGGGAAAGGACCCCAGTGAGCGAATGCCCATCTGCTGTGGAGCCTGCGGGACCCCCAGACATTCACGGCGTCTCTCAACACCACCACATCAGAAATATCAGCTTCCCCGCAGAGCTCTGCCCCCCCATCTCCAAGCTGGCCAAGGTACAAACAAGCCAAGAACATCTCAATGCTTTAAACAAAGCAACCCATCACTGCTAGATTACAGTGTGCCGGTGTTTTTTTTTTTTTTTTGTCTAATCTTTCCTAATTGTCCGTATCTGGAAGCTCTTGACTTCCACCCGTGATGGAAGTAATCAGAGATGCTGTTGCGACTGATGGCTCCCAAACTTGTAGAAGCTTGCCAGATCACCACGAGGCACGTCCTGGTGCATCACGCTGTTGATGGCTGCCCCATTAGCCACCGGAGCTGGGTGCACCAAGGTGGGGGTTGGACCCTCGTGGAAATAATCACATTACCTGATTGTTAGAATGCACACTAGACCGACGGAACAGGAAACAAAAGAGCTGCTTCTGTCATCTGGTGCCTTTACCTGGAAAAGATTTAGCTGTCCAAGGTAGAGCGTATGTGCTTCTCAGCTCATCCCTGGACCTCTGTGAGGACTGTCCATAAGGGAGGAGAAAGGGGACGACTTTCAGGGGCTCAATCACGGGGCGGGTGCATGAGTTTGTGAGTGTGGATACTGGTCCCTGTGGTTTGGAGAAGGCCGGCCCAGCCTGGCTATGTCTATATGTATCCCTGATGTCTGATATAGAGGGCAGCATGTGGCTCAGGAAGGTCATTGGTTCAAATCCCATGGTTGGCAGCGTGATGTCACTATTGGGCTCCTGAGCATGGCACATAACTCCCAATTGCTCCTGGGACCATCTGACTCTGCTTTCAATTGTATTTTGGTCTGGATAAAGGTATCTGATAAATAAGTTATTATCCAGAGATCTCTTGTGAAGAGCTAGGCCGTTCCACACTTCGGTCCATTAGAGCTTTTCACTGTGTGTGGTTTTCACTGATTGCCAAAATTACAGAGGTAGCCTTTAGTAACACTGTTTATAAGCTGTAGCATCTGTAGAAGGAATTCATTTTGTTGAGTCCAAAGCACAGCTAGCACAATAAAGGCTATAGTTTTATTTAAAATAGGAGCTGCTCGGGTGATTCTTGCTCTTAAAACTGATGATGCATGGAAAATGATTATCACTAATATCAGTCACTCACTGAGTTATAGTAATCTTCATTAATGGAACATTGTCAATATACAGCCCACAGATGGAAAAATGATTCTCCTCTAAGTATTTATTCTTTGGTTGTTTTTTTGTATCTTCTGGTCATTTATCTGAAAAAAGTTGACTGAAAAATACCAGTCTTCATGAGAGTAAACAAATCAGTGGGATACAGGGATTGGAGGAGAGCACATGGTGGTTTTTTAGTGGCCCTGGGGTGAGTTAGCTTGCTCGCTAACTCGGACAGAACCATCAAGCCAAGCGTTAACGTACTGGAGATAGACCACAGCTTCAGCATAGGGTCTTGCCTCCACGCCTCACCCCTCCCCCAAGACATCCACACCCTCTGTGTGTTGACACATTGTTGAGAATCCATTTTGAGCTCTACTGAGATGGTTAATCACGTAACTTCATTACGCTTTTAAAATTTCACAATACCATGATAGAGGAGATCCTACCCCAAAGACCTGCTGAAACGCCTCCTATGGGCAAGTTAGGGAGCTTGATGGTGGTCTTCAAAGACTATTGGTTATCTCCACACATCCAGGGAAGCCACCACTTCAGTCATTTTCACTATGTGACACCTCCATTCAAAGCAGCCTCAACCCCATGACCTCTAATCCATTTTAGATTCAATACACGTCTCTCTCTAGAGCAGGCCTGGTCAGCCTTATCCACAAAGGGTCAGTGTGTACACAGGGTTTTGGGGTAACCTTTAGGTCAGCTGTTCAAACCCAGGTGTGAGGACTCTTCAGTCAGTCTGTCATCTGATTAGTAATCTAATTAGAAAGTTGCAGTGAAAGCCCACATTCAAAACAGCCCTTTCTGGATAAGACAGCCTACCACTGCTCTAGACCGTACATCATTTTCATTCCTGTAGTCCTGCAGATCCATTTCTCCACTCTAGGCCAACAATAGAGAACTTGTTTCATATTTAAATGTTATGGGCTTCATAAGTGCAGGCAAGGCCTTTTCAGATTTGAGTTTCCATTTAGCTTACTGCACTATGACACCGGTCATGGAACCAAGAACAGGGGCTCTATCCTGACTGCTTATGATACCAGCTGTAAGTACGTTCTTTACAGACTTCTAAAAGTAAGCTCTTTTTGAAACTTTAGGGGCCATCCATCCATCAATCAGTCAAGCAATCAATCAATCCATCCATCCATCCATCCATCAATTGCTTATCCAGTATCCAGTACTGCATCACAAGGATGAATCACACAATTGATTGTTATATAATTCCTTCATCCCTGTCACCCAGTACTGGATTATATTATCCTTGGAGGATGGATGGATTCTTTCAGAAATGTTAAATTTGCTATTTGCTCTTAGACAGACATGTCTCTTGAGTAAATTCCACACAATAAAGATATCACAGATTCTCGAACTGGGCCAGGAATGTACCCGCCCTATGCTATTTCTCACTGGCTCACTCACCGCTGGCTGCTCTCCGGCCTCCGTCCTGCAGGGCGGCGCTCTGAGGGAATGCCGCCGGGCAGGGTTGGGCCCGCAGCCTCTCCACCTCCTGCTTCATGTCCACCAGCCGAGCTTGAAGGTCCTGCACAGTGCCGTCCAGTTGCTCCTTTTCCCGTTGCAGCCGAGCCCGCTCAAGCTCGGCCTGGGCATGGGCATCTCGTGGCCCCGCCCCTGGCCCCTCACCCACCAGGCGGCTCACATGCGCCTCCAGCAACGTCAGCCGGGCCTTCAGCGCCTCCATCTCGGGCCCCCCGCCGCTCAGCGGGCAGCTGGCCTCCCTGGGGCTGCTGACAGTGAAGGTGTACTGGCAGCGCCCCCTCTGGTCGTTGCCCCTCTGGAAGGTGGCTCTGTCCTGTGCTGAGCCCGTCAGCAGCAGGCACGCCACGCACAGCGCCACCTGGAGCTTCATCCTGGGATCTCTGGGTGAACTGCACTCCCTCTGGCCAATCCTCACACTCCTCTTCCTTCCTGCAATAAGTTGGGCTGGCGTACGGCTTTTAACCTGCCAACTTACTCCTCTCGAGATGTTCCAAAGCTTACTTCTCGTCTCTGCTGGTTAATCTGCTATCCTCCCTCCTCCCCAGGTGTGCTATACGGTCCCCACGCAGTCTGTCCCCACGTTCCACCTGATGTCGGACACCCTCTCGCGTGTCTGTACCTCCCGCTGCCTGTCTGTGCCTGAGATCCCGGCCAGCCTCTGGACTCTGGCAGACCGCAGACCTGTTATTTATACGAGCCGGAGGGGAGGGGGCAGAGGGGGTAGCAGGGCGGGTCAGGGGGGAGAGGCGTGGTGGTTTGTGTTTGGGGGTTTATTGCTCTGATGACAAGAATATTCCAGAAGCCGTATTTCAAAAACAGCGCTGTGTCAATGTGATGTGCTGCATGTTTTTCTCAACAGGCGGAAACATGTCAGTGTGTGATTGCACGCATTACTCTGTATTTGTTTATGGGTTCTGCATGGCTAGAAACAACTCAATATCTGCAAATGTTCAAGTAATGAGCCGGTGGCAGCCCTTGTAAATCCAATGCAAACGTGGTCTCTCACTTGAACAGCCCGAATGCCCTATTAAGTTATGTAATGAGCGCTTGAAGCTCACGGACCTCACGGGCACCTGGAGGTGAAGGGGATTCCTGAGATATTTTTAAAAGTCAGGTTACCGTTGAGTCCAGCTGTTAGTGCGGGTCTGCATGCTGGCGCTCGCTCGCTGTCTGGATGTGTGGAGGAGTGCACATGACCCCCGACGTGGAACAACCCCGGATCAAGGGCTGGATCAAGTTCCCCGCTGGTGTCGGAGTGCCCAAGGCTCCGGGGTGTTCCATTTCAAACACCAGAGAGGGGAATCCTCATGAAAATGTGATGCTGCAGACCGAAGATCGATGTCTCATTCGCTTAACCTCTCCTGTGGGTTTATTTATTTAGCAGACTCTTAAGCAGCCAGTGAGCAGAGCCTGGTGTCACAGAGGAGGATCAGGCAGCACCCTGTACTCCGTAAGGCTGGTCTGATGACACCTGGCAGCATTGCCATTGGCTGGACCCCCAGGCGCAGGGTCTGTGGGGGCCGCCCAGGTGCTTTTTTCATTCAGCGATCGTATTTCTGCCTTTTAATATACCCCAGCCATGGCTCTTAATCCCAACCCTCCCAAAAAAACACACGGACCCTGCTACACAAACTAAGCCCCATGTGCAGGAGGCCCGTCTCATTTTAACACTTCAAAGGCCATAATGCTCAACCTGGAATATGGGGACCGTGGGGGAAGATGCCAGACTCCTGTTTCAGAAGTCATAGAAAACCTAACCCTATCCCTAATCTGTGTTGTGATGAACCAGCATGGCCTCGTTCTTCCCCTGGCATTTCCTCCTCTCTTCCCATCCATCCCTTCTAATCTTCTGCTCCTCTCCACAATCTCTGGTGCAGTTCCAGAGCCTGATTTCTGCAGCCTCAGCCAGTCACGACACACCAGGGTCCATTATTCCCCGCGCTGGTATAAACAGAGCTGCCCTCCCCTCCATTGCATGGGCTACGGGCCAGAAGCAGCTCCCGCCAGGACTTACCTGGAAACGGAGTCTGGGAGTCCAGCTGCTGGGGTACAGGCCCAAGTGACAGACCGCTTACTGGAAGTTGACCTGACACTGGACTCCCAAATGCCCAGAATGAGTGCTCACCTCGTTTCAACTCCTGATTTCTCCAGTCGGAATTCCAGATAACTTACCAGCTGGGAGGCGCCCAACAAAGATTTGAGATTCCGGTTACTCTTTAACATTTGGAAAAACAGATCCAGTTGTCTATGTGTTACCTGGCATGTACTCAACTGTTTCAAGCTCGTCTGGTTGCTGTTTACATCTGTGATGTCGGCCATTGTGACAGGATTTAATTATTAACACAGCTTCATCACCTGGTGTACAGGTCTAAGACGCCGTGAGGCTTAAAAGCTGAGCCCTGCACGGAAAAGGCATAGACCCATGGCAGATTATTCCCATTCCAAATCCAGAGGTTTGCAGTTCTCATAACAGGAAACAGCCAGCTGGTACCATCGCCCCCATTCGGAATTTAATGGAGCTTGCCCTGCTGGGAAACGCCAGTCATTTACCCAGCATGCATTAGCCTCAGCAGGAGGCACAGTACAGCCAGCCTGCTGCAACCTCAGCGGTGTATCATCTCATTCTCACAGTGCTTCATACAATATAGGGTCCTCTCCCCAAAATCAAGAATATGGGGGAGGGGGCTTATCTTCAACCAGTTTATACAGCTGGATGTTTCAGAGGAGCTGTTCATTTTAGGCACCATGTTAAACTATGTCTAACTGGAGCAGGATCTAAGGTGGGACTGGAACTCACAACTTGCAGGACATTCAGGGCATCCTTCTCTGACATCACTAATAAGATGTAGGGATTGGTCACCGTTTTCAGATGAAACCTATCCTGCCCCCAATTGCCTCCCAAGATGGCACAATCCAGAAGACATGCTCTGCCCAGTGTCCCTTTCTCACTCTTTCCACACATCCCCGAAAAGCACACCCCCATAAAGAACTGCAGCATCCCATTAAAATCACTTTATTCCAAAGAAACATAAATCAGGTCACATATTGATAATGTAATGGCATTTCCGAACACATTTATTAGCAATTCATATTTAAAATGAAAAAATGAACATACAAAAAGAAAAACATTTCGATTCCACTTCCAGTTATACCCGTTCACTTCAGGATACCTGCGGTCAGTGCCCGTGGCCAGGTGAGCGAGGCACATGCCTCTCTGGCTCCCCCCTGAGGCTGGGAGAGCCACGTGCAACATGCTCCCCTAACACAGGGAAACGGCAGTGACTGCGAACAGTGATATTCACCCGAACACACACACACACACACACACACACACACACACACACAAAAAACAAACACAACCCTGCTTCCCAGAAAACAGCAGCAACGTGTTAAATTCCAACATAACCTCATCTTTGTTCCAGTAAGGTTGATAAATAAGTAGTAGAACAAGAAAAATAAAACGAGATGGTCACCATACCCCGGAGGGCGATGGACCTTCGATTCACAGATGTCCTGAATGAACACGAATCCCTAAATGGTCCCTGTACAGAAGATGTCACATTCAGCCACTGAGGGGCTCGTCACTACTAGAAACAGCAAACACTGAGCAGGAGGGGAAGGGACAGCTACTCTAACATGGCTCTGCGTACGTTTAGTAAATACCTTAGACACTCAGGGTTCCTACGGGGCGACAC